CTGCCTAGGGAGAGCGCTGCACAGCGGGACGCACAGAGGATGTAATCTGTGGCAACTCTGACCTCGTTAAAAAGAGGTGCCAGCGGGCTGTCATCGGGAACCAGCGATCCGAGCTCCGCCAGGCACTTTGCCTGGTACATCTGGAGCATGGTGACGGAGCTCATGGCGCGAGCAGTGCAGGCCTGTGCCCGATAAATCTTCTCCAGCTGTGAAGCAGAGAATCTGCAGTGCTTGGACGGCAGAGTTGCGGGGCCGCTGACACCATGGTTATGGGACAGGTGTCATAAGGTGCTTATGGTTATAAGCAGCCAAGGACCAACTCCATGTACTGTCCATAGCTGGGCACAGTGACGCGGACAGACAGAGGTTTGTCCCATGATGCTGTTAGCTTGCAGACAAAGTCTGGGAACATGGGAAGGCAGTTTATGGCCGTTCCGGTCTCCGGTGGGAGGAAAAAACCAACGAACTGTGACGGCTTCTGAGCTGGAGGAGGAGAGGACCAGTCCACCTGCAGCTTCTCAACAGTACGGCGAAACAGGGAGAAAAGACAGGTGTCATCGTGGCCGACCAGCACAACAGCAGTGGCGGCACATTGGGCCGACAATGAGCTCTCCCGCTCATCCTCCGACAAACCACGGATGTCCAGCACGTGATCGTCTTCCTGGGGAGCGCTGGCGGGCTCATGCCAAGCTGAAGCCCGTCAGCGCTCCTGCATGGTTTCGGCTCGTCATCGGCTAACCTGTCAACATGTTCCATGTGGTCAGCCCAGCTAATTGCCCGGACATCGACCGGATAATTCTCGTCTTCGGACTCGGACGAAGCCGGGGCTCCAGACTCGGAAAGGAGAGGTTCATGCCGTGCAACAGCAGAGCGTCCCAGCACTATTTCCACAAACTCCACCGCGTGTTTCCAGGATCGAGCGCCGGAGCTAGCGACAAAACGCACAGGCTTCAGGCTCAGTCAACGCTCTCCTAGCGTGGATGATCCCCAGGCAGACAGGGCAGGCATTGTGCTGGTCGCTGTTGTGCAAAGAGAAACCGCATCCCTGAAGACGGGGGTGAACAGAAGATTTCTGCTTTGCTCGCATCAGTTTGGAGTCCATTCCAAAACGCAAAGCCAAACGCTGCACGGGAAAACTCGAAATTAGCGCTCCGCAGGCAGCCTACGGACCAACAGCGTAGGTGGAGGTTGACACCAACAGGGGCAGTTAAGCTAAGTTCAAGTCCGCAGACAGTGGAGCTAACTAGTAGCAGCTAGCTAGCCCAACTCAGCAGAGGTGTTCTCAGCGAGGTGAAGAGCATAAGAACTGAAGCATAACTGTGATGACAGCGGCTATATGTGCAGGCGGGTCCGTGCACGTGTCATCGCATGTCATCCGCCTTAAAGGCGTGAATAAAGGTTTCTTCAGCCAGGACACGCAAGGGCGTGATATCCCATACTTAGGTGTTGTACCGAGTGAATCAATTGAAAGGGAACACCAGTGCCTAGCATGCGAAGGTATCACTTTCAAAAATGGGAGGTGATGCAAATTCCTGGATGGGTTGCGTCAGGAAGGGCATTTGGCCTAAAATTTATACAAGTTCAGACATGCAGATCTATTCACTGTGGCAACCCCTTGCAAATAGCAGCTGAAAGAAGTCAATTTCTGCAGTAATAGCAAAGCAAAGTGTAATTAGTCAGCCACTAGCCGCACAGCATTTACCTGACTCGGGTAGCTTTGTTAAATGCAAGTGTTCAGGTAGACAAAGAGTGCTACATATTAAAGCAATACAGCTGTTGTTTCACATAATTATTATTCCTTTATTTATCCAGGTAAATATCTCATTGAGATTAAAAATGTCATTTGTAAGAGAAACTTAAACAGTTTAATGCCGTTAAGCTGGGCATACACTGCGTTTTTTTTCAGTCACGTTATTCAGCTCCTGCTCAAACTGTACAATTAAATCGCAGGGGTTAGAGGTTCGTCGGTCATGATGCAGGGTCTCACACTATATGGCCCGATGCACTGATGTGAACTGAGTGCTCACACTGTGCGTCCATAACATGAAGCTTATAACACTAAATCTGTCTCTTGCTCTCCCTCTCTGTCTTTACTCACACAGACACACACACCACCACCATCAACTTTGCTAAATTGCTTATGAAAAACATTGACCAGGCAGCTGCAGTTGAGCAGCAATGTCCATACAACTCTTTTCATAGTTGGTGCAGTCATGATAAAGTTCTACAAGTTATGCCTCTATCGCTTGTGTCCAGATCACACGCTGCACTGCCAAACTGCAAGAAGCTACTCCGTCTTTCCATTTCTGTTTGCGCATGCGCAGTGTGAGAGGCTGCGTTGACAACCTCACAAGGGCCAACAGGATTTCAAACAGGTTTGATTTCCTTGCGAGCATACGATTGATGATCTGGAGCTATTCGTGAGGTGTTAATCACTTCTCGTTACCCCATGTGTACTCCACGATGCACGACACACAATTAAGGTGAAACTTGGGCCGATTCCCAAAACGGTCGCACAACTGAAAAATATGCTCAAAATGGGCCAAAAATCACACAGAGTATGCCCAGCTTTACAATTAAACAGTTAATTGACTCAGAAATGCAGAGTTCACTGTTGAATAATCAGATTTTTCCTGATTACTTTATACAAAAAAAATAATCTGAAAACTGTGAAAAGCATCCATCATAAAAATCTAGATCCCAAAAGTGATTCTGATAAATAAATCACCATAGAAGTGATTACCTAATGAGCTTCTTATAAATGCCTGTTTTGCATTGCCTGTTTTTTTCTTCTTGTGTAATTCAAGGTATTTCTGGAAGTTTTTAGCATGTAAGGGTAAAATTTCTGATGAAGTGAGGACCAAATATAGCACAGTGAATTGATGTAAGCAGAGAGCATGAGTCAGCAGTTCTTTTTTTCAGCTTTTCTATAGGTCTGTGCTGAGTCAAGTCCCTCAAAGGCCTCTTATTAAATCAGACATGATTAGGTTCTACTATTGTTTATAGCACAATCCTATGCTGTTTGAAGGACCAGATAGACAAACACGTTTCATCCTGTTAATTGTTGTCTTCTTCCAGACATGAATTTACTGTCCATGCAGATTGCTGTGTAGCGTATCTATGCCGTCAATGTCATCCTCTCTCCTCTGTGGCAGGTTTACTGTGCTGTGTGCTGCAACAGGAAGTGTAAACTGAAGTACCTGGAGAAAGAGGCTCGTGTATGTGTCCTCTGCTTTGACACCATTCACAGAGGTAAGGTTCTTGTTTGGTTTATTTGTATGCCTTTATTAAGATCCCCATGTGTTGTACTATTATAAAATACATGATTATATAGCGAGTCAAACAGGCGGTGGGCGACGTGCAAGGGGTCACCTGTGATGGCCCTGGTGAGAAATTGAGACAGAAGGAGTTGGCAATAGCCTCCAGGGGTGGCAGAGGGCAGTAAATGATTTAACTGCTCATCCAAACATGAGTGAGCAATGAAATTAAACTGTATTATGAAAATAAAGTAAATAAAATACAATAAATAAAGACAATAAAAATATTATTTGTCCTTTTGTGAGGACCAGTTTCAGCTCATGAGAAAGTTAGAGCATTTGAGCTGGCCTTTATATTTTCCTCACATTTCTTTAAATGCCTGTTTTGGTGTCAAAGCTTTTAGAGTTAAAGTTGAAATCAAGTTTGGACGTACTTAAATCTAACATTGTTTGCATTTTAACAATGGGTTGAGTTTCTTACATTAGTAGAAGGGAAAATGAGTTCTGATGGTTTTGTAGATTTGGTGTGTGTGTTTTTGTGCATGTATGTCTGTGTGTTCAACTATGCTAATGAATGAGTGAGTTTGTCTGTAAACGTTTAAAGGAAGATGTGGTGGCTGCATTGAAGAAAAACAAAGTTTTACTCTGACAAGAAAGCCTAATTTCTGCTGTTCAGTACTGGAGGAATTTAAACTTTTACAAATTATTTCTTAGCTGTGTCTTTAATAAAACCTCTGTAACTTTGCTCTGCTTTACTTAAGCAGCATCATGTAATGTTCTTATGTTGATTCATGGTTATCGATCTACTGCAGTATATTTTTAAGGTGGTTATCTGCTATAAAAATATAGGCCAGGAAAATCTCCTTCATGCTTTGTTTTGTCCTCAGTTACACAAAGGCATCTGTCGTGATCCTTACACCTCTGATGAAGTCTCACAAGTGTCAGCTTTGTTTTTATACATAGATATAAAAATATGGATATATACTGATAAATGATCAGAATTATATTTCTGACTGAGTCAAAATTGAATCGAATCGACCTTGCAAGGGACCTTGTGAATCGGAATTGAATCGATTATAGAAATCAAAATCAATACCCAGCCCCATTTCTATCCTAATGAAAACACATACAAGCTTTCCTTTAGTATTTAGGTAGGAACACAAAGCTGACAGCACAAAGCAAAGATAAGAATCCTAAATTTTGGGCGATGTAAATCAATTTACACATTAACATATTCCTGAAGTTTCTTCGTTACAGTGATTCTACTGTATAAACATGAACAGGTAGAAACAAAGGCTGCAGCCTGACTGCTCATCCATTTGCTACCTGAAGTTTAGGGTCTGGCTGCTAGGCTGGCGTGTGCATTCAACATCATTCTGGGTTCTTGGCTAGCTTAGTGTTATCATGCTGTATAGGCAGGTGCTTGCAATGAGCTGAATAATATGATGAAAGCCTTGAAATAAATATGGTCTACTACACCTTATGCCCCTCTTTAGATTTACTCCTGCTTGCTCCAAGTATCAGTGCAATAGAGAGTGGTATATCTGCCACAGTCAGCCTACCTAATTTAAACATCAGACTAAGTTAACAGTTCATTTTTCGCTGTGTAAAACAAACAAAGGTGGATTGGAACAGTTACAAAGTTAGCTTTTCCTCATGCCGGAGCTTGTTGATCAGGTAGTTTCGTTTACTTTTTCCAGTAAAGGTTTAATGCTGATTACAGGATTAAGTGATGCTGTTTTGGAGACTGGGAAAAACATTTTCTTTAACTCTCCCTGAGGTCACCATCTTGGTAACAATAAAAGACGTGGAAATAGGCACCTTTTTTTTTTTTTTAGCTGGACTGCAGCAGTGATATGGAGAGAGATGGGAGATGGGAGTTGATTGCAGAGGAAAGTGATAACAGGACACTATTACTTGTCCTTGAGCTTGTGAGTCTATGTAGTACAGGACCACCGAGTGCAGTGGACATGTGATGCTCACATGCTGTCTAAATTAAGGAGGAGATGGTCCACTTTAGTGGCTTTTGGATGCTCGGGCAGTGTGTTGCAATCCTTCTCTTCTCTCCCTCACACAGCTCCTCCTCTCCTCCCCTCTCTTGCTTTCCTCTCCCTCACTGACATCAGTATACGAGGCTTACTGCATACACCTCAGCCTACAGCTAATAGCCTGTTATTATTTACGAGAGGAGCCGCTTCAGAAAAGCTGTGAGGACTGGTCTGATGTCAGTTGGCGAGAGAGATTTGTCATAACGTGGATTAATTGTGTTTTAGTTGAGGAGGAGATGATGAGGTAAGATGCTTCTTACTTGTAATGAATAAAATGTTGGAAACTTTGTACTGCTGCTGTGCTGGATTGTTTGAGTTTAGAATGTGTGCATATATTGAAAATCAGTGTTTTGTCTCCATTTTAAGTAATATATTTGGTTATGTTACCGTTGCACTGAAAATGGGGTCAGTAAATAGCCTTAAGCCTTGGTTGACTTTTTTTCTGCCATGTCATCCTTTCGTTGCACAGCAAGGCGAATAACTGTTCTTGCATTGATACTAATTGAATTATTGATACTAATTGAATTACTTAAAAGAAATTATAGAAACAAGGATCTAAATAACCATAATATCTTTGTAATGTTTCAATCTGCTGTGGTTGCATTCCTGTGTTTTTGAAAGCCACATTGTTGTTGCTGTCATTACATACTGGATAAGTAAAGCTATGTGATACATAATCAATATAATACGACATAATTGCTTGATCAGCAGCGCTGAGAAAAGCTGCTCTGAAAGCCTCTCCACTATAGCCAGTTTTCCTGAAAGTAATAACTCATCTTATAGCAATGTTGGGGACTAAACCAATATCCAACTGGCACAGCTTTAGAAAAGCTGTTATGCTGATGTACGCTACAGTCCTACACCCCAACACTGAACTTTATGAATACAGAAACTTGAGAACAAGGCAAGAAGGAGTTTCAAATTTATACGTGTGTGTATATATAAGTGTACGTCCTAAAACTTGACCTCATGATCAAGGATAGCGGTCACATTTTGTGAACATCTTGTGAATGTGATAGTTTGAGAACGTAGGATTTTGGAACTGATACCATCGGTGTATCGGCTTAAGGGTACCACTGGCTGCCACCAATTTTATTCTTTTAGTCAGTGAGCTAGAGGAAACATGTAGCGGCACTCTTCTGTATCATTCACCTGCTGCATTAAGAGGGACTCCAACTCCACCATCTTGGACTGCAGCTGGTAATGATAGCTAGAGAGTAGGGCTGAACGATATATCGCATTTGCGATAATATCGCGACATGATCAAGTGCAATTTTCTAACCGCAAAGGCTGCGATTATACTCTGGACATGTCCAAATTCATGGGCTGCATCCTCCTGAGGCCGCATTTGTAGACCGATTACGTCACAGCGACGCGCCGAAGGCTGTCCAAATTACTACCATATCCCAGAATTCATAGCGCGGCCCAGCCAAACTCCAGTTTCCAGCAATGGCGGCCGCTACTAAGTTTTAAAATTACTCATACTAATCTTTCTGGGTCACAAAATAAACTTTTAACATATTTTCAGGCGAGAAAGTAGTTGTGTAAACATCAAATATCTGCTCGGTTTATCAAGATATCCCATATTTGCAAAAGTGCTTCGACGTTTTCAGAGGCGTCTGCTACCCACCAGCTCGACAGCTAGCCGGGAGCTCGAGGGTTACTGATGCGGCCGAGAACGGCACAACTCCCGGCACATCATTTTCAGATCACCGCGGAGTTTCGCTGCTCGGGTTAAACGTAATATATAAGTCACTTAGACAACCTAAAAATGTTATTGTTGGGCTTTTTTCAGTGTTTTGTTTGTTCGTGAGTAAATCGGTTTGGCTGAGATTAAAGTTATTAGATTAGATAAAATAAAACTTTATTAATCCCCCGGGTGGGTTCCTCCTTGGTTTTCACACAGCTGACTAAACGTCAAACAGAAAACTTATTAAACAGAAGTATGAGACAGTCGAGAATTTACACCAGTGTCTGGTTATATTTTAGATAGCAAGAAGCAGACGGCCGAGTTTATTAAACTCCACCGAGACAGCGGTGACGCTAATCAGAACTAGCCTCATAGTAACAGAAGGCTAGACCGTCCAATTTCACGCCTTTAAATTTTAAAGGCGTGTTTGTGTGTGTGTTTATACAATTGCTATTATGTTTGCACTTTATGTGTAATGTTACTGACTGCAGAGATCAGTAAGATGTGTGTATTTTTTATTTATTAGTTTTATTTATTTAATATTATTTTTTAATTGAATGACTGTCTAGTAGTTCACAGATGTCGAAAAACTGAGTGTGGTAAAGCCACTGATTTTTTTTATGTATATTTCTGCAATCTGCACATTGTACTGACTTTCATTTTAATGTTTACACCAGGGTTCCTTGTCAGCACTTTATGCTCAGATGTTTGTAAGCTAAAAATAAACTATTGTGTATGTTCAAATATACTGTTGTGATTGAAGAAGTTAAATAAAAATGTCAGTCATCAATTCATGCATCACCTCATGTCATCATAACAGAGGTCTGTCTTCCAGGAAAGAACAGTTTAAAATTAATGTAATATAGTATTGGCCATACTATATGATGTATTGCTTGTCTTTGTTTAATAATACAGAAGACAAAGACCTTAAAAAATAATCGCATATCGCATCGCAATCGCAATATTGGGGCAAAAAATCGCAATTAGATTATTTTCCATAATCGTTCAGCCCTACTAGAGAGCCACACTTAAGGGAATGTGGAGCAGGTGGAAAGTGGTTCATGTTCCATAACAACACAATCACCGAGGCAGCAATACAGATGGAGGGCTACCAGCTGCAGTCCAGGACAATGGAGTCGATGCCCATCTGTAAGAAAACTAATTTGAGAGGCGTTTTGTTATTTGTCAGGATTTTCTTAATTAAAATTCCTGCAGTGGAAGTCTGTGTGAATATTATATACTTGACAAATTCAATATTTAAACTGCATTTAGACGCATTTAGATATATATCTGTGTTAGTCCATTATTGGTCAGATACTGCTAATATACTGTCCAGCTTTTTTTCAACAGGCTTCTCTGAAGAAACTTACTGATAGAGATGCTTTTTCCTTCTCCAGTGTCCTCACTTATTTTCCAAATCTGTAACAGAACCGCAGAAAGTGGAAGTCCTTTTTAATTAAACCAATGAAATATAGCTATAATAATATGTTGCAGTGCTTTCCTTTGTTCTCCACCACTTGCACTTTCTAAACACAACTTATTAATTACAGGAAAATTATTCACAATCTTGTAGCCATTGCAGTAGACATGCGCCCCCTTTTATCTTCTGTATGCTTTTTTTAAATGTTGTTTTAATTTTTGTAACAACCATTAATTAATTGTAGATTAATTGTAGATTTTTTTTTTTTTTTAAAGGAAAAAGAAATATCCTGGTTCTTCATAGCAGGGGACAAATTTAGGCTGAGTGGGCCTTATAGGCCTCAGTCACACAGACCTGTAAACTGGGCCACTTGGGAAAAATGTATGGATTGCATTCAAAGTAAAAGTTGTGCCTTACTACTAAAACCAGCATGTTTCTTCAAAAGGCACAGCCTGTAATTACTTCTCCAGAAATACAATAAACTTTAATAACGAAAAATCATTTGACCACTGAAGTTTAGTTTACTCTAAAGAGGACTTGAAAATCTAAATAAAACCTCAGATTAGATTGCCACCATTTCTCAGACATTCAGACATTCATCTTCAAGAAACTAGTCTCTACATCTAAATGAGTCGGGTAACTAGCTTTTTAGACTCGAGTTAACACCTTTAAAAAATAAAAAAAAAATGAACATGCTTCTAACAGCATCCTTCTGTTGTAGCCCAGGCTCTGGAACGGATGATGAGTCCTACAGGTCCTAGCCCAAACCCAAATGTCCCATCTGAATACTGCAGCACAATCCCCCCTTTACAGCAGGCCCGTGCTGCTGGTACTCTAAACTCCCCACCACCTACTGTCATGGTGCCTGTGTCTGTTCTTAAACACCCAAGCAATGACGGTAAGGTTATTCTTACACAGTCTGCTTTACCTTTCACTTGCTTTCCTTAACTGTACCCCTGAAGACACTTCCTTTTTCTGTGTTATCAGGTTGTCCTCGTGAGCAAAAGCGCGTGTGGTTTGCTGATGGTATCTTACCCAATGGAGAGGTGGCAGACACCGCCAAGCTGTCTGTGATGAGCCGCAGGAGCTCCCAAGAGTTCAGTGGTGCCACCGCAGATGAGACAACAGTAATGCAATCATCCTCATAGCTCATCTATCAGGATTCCACCTTTTTAGAACTTTATAACCAGGGGTGCACATAAGTGGTCCGCAGGTGCGCATTCACTGTCAAAATAAAAGACGCGCACCAGACCAGAAGTTGCAACACGCGTTTGCGTACATATAAAAGGCACTGTTTTTGTCTGCTAGAGTGGGATTTTCACGGCATATTCTGCACCACATCTCTGTGCGTTCATCATTTGTTTGAAGCCAGCTCACCTCCTGCAACCACTTTTCCGAGAATACGCGCTTCTTTTGCGGTTTGGACTCCTTTGGACATTTCTTTGGAGATGGAGGAACTCCAATGCTTAAAGGAGCTTGCTTCTTCAACATCTTTAAGAGTTCTGAACAAATGTCTGTCCTCCTCCAGAAAATCCTATGTACCCAAACACACGTTGCAACTTCTTATCTGGTACGCGTCTTTTATTTTGACTGTGAACCCGCACCTGCGGACCACTTACGTACACCCCGGTTTATAACTCAACAAATGGCTCAAATTACTGATCCCTTGTTTTGGTATAAATACATTGTAAATACCTACACTCATTTAATAGCCAGTATTATAGTCAACATGCCCATCTGTCTTGAAAGTTCAGTCACTACTGACCAACTAGTCCCGGCTAACTTGGGTTTCTCATTCTGTGGTCCCACAGACTCCACTCCTATGGCGTTATTTTTGTGCCACTATTCTGAGCGCACGTAAAAACATTTGAGCACAAGTAAAAAAAAGTTTGCAGGTGCAAGTGTTGCATTTTGAGGAGAAATTTATTTTGAGCGAAGAAAAGCTGAATTTGAGTGAACAAAATTCATTGCTGTGTGCAAAAAATGTATTTCAGTGTTTGCTATTATCCATACACACACAATAGCAGCCCCTCTCGCTCAGTTTTTGTATTTGCGCTCGCTCGCAATTGTTTTTTCTGCTCTTACTCTTGACGAAGGCGGTCGCACTTTTCTCCTCTCCTCCTCTCCCTTACCTTCCCTGCTTAGCCTCTTATGTCCTAGTCTAGTCTCGTGGTTTTTTTGTATTACTTTTCCCTGGAACACTCTCTCACGGTCTGTTCTCTAAAACCTAAAAGAGGAATTATGGATTTGATCAACTGGTCCCTGAATGCAATTGACACCCCTTTCTCAACGAGAAGTTTGGGCTTGGGTGAGCCTGAGTGCTGAAGATATTTACCTATACGGAACCATGGTAACAGGGTTCTTGCTGATTGGAGCTGGCTTGGTCCTGACTTATTGAAGAATTAAAAAAGCGGAACCGGCTGTTCAAACCCCCACAAGGCTGCCCGCTGGGATTGAAACAATGGGAGAGGCGTGAGTTTCTCAAAATGGACTCATTGAGTGCAGCACGGATAAGATCTTGGAAAGGCTTACGGCTGCCGTGAATACTCAGAATAAGATCTCTGAGTGCAGACTGGATTACATCTTGGAACGGCTTGCTCGGAATAACATCTCTGAGCCCAAATTGGATGACATCTTGGGGAGGCTCACTGTGGTCGTTAGTTCTCAGAATCGGCTCTTTGAGCACAAGAATGACAACATCACAGAGCGCAAGTTTGATAACATCATAGCAAAGCTCACGGTTCTCCAACAGGAGATTGAGAGACCAGTGTTGGACTGTTAGAATTGCTTTGAAATTCATATGAGCTGTTCGCACTAAAGTAAAAAGCATCATCACTTCATGCGGATACCCTTTCGTCGCCAGCTGCGGTCGCAAGGCTGGAGCCAAACAAGAACACCCTGATAACGACTGTGTTTAGTCTGTTCCTTCCCATTCCATGCAAGGCCACCTGGGTTGGCTGGAAGACTGTTTACTTAGCCTAGCAGGGCGAAGGACACTGTCTCAGCTGAACTCTGGACACGCACACACATACATATACACTGATATGCACACACTCATCCCCCCTCCCTTTCCAAACGCCTTCGATGCTTGTTCCCTCCTGGGAACACGGCGGGTCTGAGCCGCGCTGGAATGGTAGCGCTGGGCAGGATGGCTGCTGTGTTTGCTTCGGATTACTCCTCACCCCCACCGACCCTGTGGCTTGTCACCTGTTCCATAATGTTGTGCTGTGGACATTTATGTGCTTTTTTGTGCAGAGGAGTTTTTTTGTTTCCTGTTCTCATGCTGTCCTCCCAGGAGCCCAGCATGAGTAGAGGTCTCTTTTTTTCCTCTTGTACTTTCCCATTGTAGTGTATATTTCAGTGTTTTTTTTCTGTAACGCTACCGATCTCCGACCTGTATCCCCATGTGATGTCTGTGTTGTGTGTGTAAGGGGGGGGGGTCCTATTTCACTGCAGGGCAACCTGCACGTGGCGAATAAAGCCTTGATTGATTGATTGTTGCTCACGCTCTCAACATTTCTGCCCGTGCGCGTTCAACTCTTTGTGTACGCCGTTATATTTGTGCCACAAAACCAGCCAATCACAGACTTGGATGCAAAAATATCTGATTGGCTCTTCTGGTCTACAATCAGCTCGAAATGACGAAATGCAATATCCCAGAATCCATTTCGTCCAAAATTCAAACGAGGCAGTGGCGGAGGAACACAGAGTGGCGGTTGATTCATCAAGACATCACATATTTCAATAATGCTCTAACGTTTTCGGAGATGCCTGTTACCCACCAGCTGACCGCGTAGCTGGACTGGCCATTGGGCATACCGGGCATTTGCCCGGTGGGCTGATGGTGTTTTTTCATTTTTATGTTTGTTTATTTTTGACAATGAAAGGTGGTGGATTAGCCAATTGGTCATGATCAACTCTGGGCTGGCCCAATTACAATACATCCGTATTGAGCAGAAAAGGAATGCGATTAGTACCGTACTTCTATGGGCTCAAAATATGGTCATAAATATTTTGTACTTGTAAATCAGTTTTGTATTGTAAAAGATTTGTGTGTGTGTAAAAAAGATTTGTATGTGTAAAAAAAATTTGTGCGTGCGTAAAAAAGATTTGTGTGTAAAAAAGATTTGTGTGTGTGTAAAAAAGATTTGTGTGTGGACTTAGCCAAAAAAACCCCTGCAAGTTACAACTACGAATTTTGACCCTATTTTTCTTCCTTTCATCTGATTGGTGAATGTCATGTCAATCACAAATGTAACAATCCAATCAGAGAACAGATGGGTTTGGCTGTCGGAGGGGCGCTTTTTTTGAACTGCAGGTCTTTGAAGGGAATAAATGCCCTTTTACATGCCAACCCAGCGTTTTCCTTCATCACCACGAAGGAAAACAGTCTGTGGTCGTCCGAGTTTGGTGATTTTTGTGTCACAGGGGGGGGCGGCAGTGTTTTGGAAATGACAGTCTTCATTACAAAGCTTTCTTCGTTATGAATTAGCATACATGTTTTTATTGAACATTTGAAGAACTAGCAAAAAAACCACAAACTCTTGTAGTTCACATAAAGTCAGAGATAAAAACGACAAGGAGCAGGTGCATCTAGTACAGGTAGAGCTGCTGCAAAAACCCACAGAGCCCAGCAGCCAGCAACAAATTCTGGATCCTTTGCTTTTAGTTAGCAATTAGCATTAGCAGCACATCCTGCGTCCGATGTGAAAGGACTTTTATGCTGCGCACTGTGACTCACAGCAATGGTCCTGGGTCAGCCCTGACGTTGTGTTAAACTAATCCTAAAGTAATAATGGTATTTCTAACCACTGACATACCACAACTTTATCCTTTCAACAGCTGCTGAAAGTAAGGGGACCTAACTGCTATCGGATATTTATATAGAGATTACCCTTCAAGGACCTGCAGTTCAAAAAAGTGCCCCTCCGACAGCCAAACCCATCTGTTCTCTGATTGGATTGTTTAATTTGTGATTGACATGACATTGACCAATCAGCTTAAAGGAAGAAAAATAGGGTCAAAATTCGTACTTGTAACTTGCAGGGTTTTTTTGCTAAGTCCACACACAAATCTTTTTTACACACGCACAAATCTTTTTTACGCACGCACAAATCTTTTTTACGCACGCACAAATCTTTTTTACAAGTACAAAACCGATTTACAAGTACAAAATATTTATGACCACATTTTGAGCCCATATACTTCAGCAAGAATGAAAAAAGACAAAGCTGGAGTTATTCTGTCTTTACGTTCCACAGCTGCCTCTTCTCCCGTCATTCTCTCTCCCTCCCTCTCCTGTTGCTACTTCAATCATAAAACCAATCAATGATCAGCTGTCTCTCTTGTTTGTTTATCTCCCACTTTGCGCCAGAAACAGGAAACCAGCGGATGTTGTGCTAAACAACAACAGCACGTTCAAGCTTGATAAGCTGTTGTTAGAATTTATTTAAAATTAATTTCTAGTATCAGCTGATGTTTGCTGGAGCCACAGCTGTAAAACTGCTGCTCATGGTATCGGTTTGGAAACATGAAGGTGATACAAATCATACATATATACCAACAAGACAGTGTACATCACTGTCACAACAGCGTTTGTTTTAGTTCAAAGGCTTTATGGTTTTTCCTATAATACCTGGCTGGTGTAGTCGGCCGATTTTTTTGTCAGTTGAGCTTTATATATTATGTTTAACCCGAGTGACCACCCGGTCAGCTGGTGGGTAACAGGCATCTCCGAAAACGTTAGAGCATTATGGAAATATGTGATGTCTTGATGAATCAAGCAGGTATTTGAAGTTTACACAGCACCATTATCGCATGAAAATATCTTAAAAGTTTATTTCGTGACCCATAAAGAGAAATATTTCAAACTCCGCCACTCTGTGTTCCTCTGCCACTGCCTCGTTTGAGTTTTGGACTAAATGGATTCTGGGATATTGCATTTCGTCATTTCGAGCTGATTGGAGACCAGAACAGCCAATCAGATATTTTTGCATCCAAGTCTATGATTGGCTGGTTTTGTGGCACAAATATAACAGTGTACACAAAGAGTTGAACACGCACGGGCAGAAATGTTGAGAATGCGAGCAACACGTTGAGAGCGCGAGCAACACGTTGAGAGCAGTGGATTTCAGTGTTCAGCAAACACTGAAATACATTTTTTGCACGCAGCAATGAATTTTGTTCGCTCAAATTCTGCTTTTCTTTGCTCAAAATAAATTTCTTCTCAAAATGCAACACTTGCACCTGCAAACTTTTTTTCACTTGCGCTCAAATTTTTTTTACGTGTGCTCAGAATAGTGGCACAAAATAACGGCATACACTCCCAGTGTATTGAACTGCAGCTAAGGTCGCTGGCCCTTCTACTCCATATATCCATGTCAAATATCAGGGCCAGAGGTCCTAGAAACTCTTTCATAAATTGAAAACAAGTGCTGCCAGCTGCTGTCCAACATGGACAAGTTGACGTTCATACACATGATGAGAAACTCTTGAGAAGCAGCTGATTTATGTGCTTCTTGGCAACCTGGTATTTTCTAGTACTGCTACACTAAAATAGACAATTAGATAGACAATAAATAGAAATTAAAAAAAATGGACAATAAAAATTAGTCCGTTGACGATGGTATTACATGAAATGACATTCTTATTTCAGCCTGGCTTACCTGGGGCAGAGACCGGAGTTAACAGTGCATCTTCCCCTGAGGCTGCTGTGGCAGCAGAGGTAGTTTGCCGCCCAGTGTCTGGACCCTGGGATTTCGCGTTGCTTTGTGGAATTGGTTCTTCAGTGAACAGGTTTCCCAGTCTGCTGCCAGACAATGAAGACGAGCTGCCTCCACTGCTCATTGCCACTGGAGAGGACGAAGGAGGAGGTGTGTTTTAGACATGAATCTCTTGGTTTATTTTTGCACATCTGGACATCTTATGTCTTTCTGTTGTGCTTGGATCAGAGTGAAATGTAAGTCTCACACTGGCTTTTATGCGAAATGCTTTAATAATCGCTCTGCTGTGTTTTCTGTTTAGATGTTTTAGTTGAGGAGAATCCTGCTCCATGTCAGATTCTGCACTTACTAGAAGAAGGCGGACCCCGTCCTCTGACATTCATTCTTAATGCCAACCTGCTAGTCAATGTCAAACTGGTGACATGTAAGTGAAATATGAATGAACAAATATGGAATTATGTAGTACACTAAAAAGTGTGAAATAACTCAAAACATGTTTTATGTTTTAGATTATTCAAAATAGTCATCCTTTGCTTTGATTACTGTTTTGCACAGTCATGGCATTCTCTCCATGAGCTTCATGAGGTAGTCACCTGAAATGGTTTTATGCAGTCTTGAAGGAGTTCCCAGAGATGCTCAGCACTTGCTGGCCCTTTTCCCTTCACTCTGCGGTCCATCTCATCCCAAACCATCTCCACTGGGTTCAGATCAGGTGACTGTGGAGGCCAAATGAACCTGACAAGGCACACCTTTGAAGTGAAAACCATTTCAGGTGACTACATCATGAAGCTCATTGTGAGAAGACCAAGGATTGGCAGCGCTGTCAACAAAGCAAAGTGTGGTTATTCTGAGGAATGTAAAATATAAAACATATTTAGAGTTATTTATCTTTTTTTTAGATTTTTTTTTTTTTTTGCTATATAATTCCAGATATCTTCCGTCATATATTTGATGTCTTTAGTATGTATTTACAATGTAGCAAACAGTAGAAATAAAGAAAAAAACATTAAACAAGAATGTGTGTCCAAACTTTTGACTGGTAGTGTATCTCATATTTCCTCTTTCAAATCTTGTGAATCCTCACATGCCTTCCAATGTATTAACTCTTGTGTGTTTTATCTTCCAGACTCTGGCAGGGAATGCTGGTGTTTTGGCTCTAATGGGCTGCAGGCTCTGGGACAGAAAGAGTTAGTATTTCTGTTGGAGTGTTTGCCTCAAGAAAAAACTCTTCCCAAAGACCTCTTTACCATATATCTCAGCATTTTCCAGGATGCCCAAAAAGGTAATACCTGCCTTCAGCCTGCCTTTGCAACTTTTAATAACTACACCTTTAGCTTATAAAGGATAACATAATCATTATCTTGTGTTACAGGGAGGTTTGTGGAGGAGCTGGATAATGTGACTTTTACAAGTAGTTTCTTGGGCAGTAAGGATCATGCTGGGATGGTATTCTTCTCTCCCACCTGCCAGTCTCTAGACGGCCTCACTCTCCCTTCACAGCCATTCTTGTTTGGCCTGCTCATTCAGAAACTGGAGGTGCCCTGGGCCAAAGTCTTTCCACTGAGACTGCTTTTGCGTCTTGGAGCTGAATACAACTGTATGTAAATCTTTGTTGCTCATGACAACACTGAGTGTTATTTCATATTAAAACATAGTAATCTTAAACTTTGATTTGTTGAAAATGAAAAAAAAAAACCTGCTCTTCTGAAACATCATGGTTATTAGTTTATTATTATTATTGTTAAAACGATTAGTTTCAGCAGTTTGATGAGTAAATAAAAAATACCCCAGTTCCACCTTCTCATTTGTAAAGAGCTTATTTTACCTTTAACTTTTTGCCAGTATACCTGATAGTAAGTTTAATTTATTTAGATTTTGGACTTTTGGACAAAATTGTATTTGTAAATGGTGATATATTTGTTTATAGATTACGTTTTTTTTAGTTCATTTCAATTCAATTCAGTTTTATTTGTATAGCTCAAATCACAAAAGCAGTCACACTAACACATTTTATACCGTAAGGTAAACCCCCTACAAGTTAAATTACTAAACCATTGTAAATTACTGTCTGTAAGCATATAGGCTGTTCTAGGAGAAAGACACAGGGACAAGTGATACATATTGTGCTTTTATGGTTTATTTACATATGTTTTTGTTTTTCAGCGTATCCCACCACACTGATAAGTATCCGTTTTCGGCAGTCAGTGTATCGAGAGACAGGACACACCATTATGAATTTATTGGCTGTAAGTAGTGCAAAATAAGATTTTGCAATAAAGAAAATAAGATTTATTTATAATTGAGAAGCTTGGCAAAATTTTGTTAGAGCTAAAACTACACATAATTCTTAACTCCACTCAAGCCACATTTTAAGTAATGCAGATTTCATGGGTGTCTGGCAGAGTAGTTTTTGATTTTGATGATTGACAGTTTAAAATTAATTTGTTTTATACTGGGCTTTTGGTGAAAGGTTTTTGAACATAAATGTTATTAGGACAACAGTCATAGACACTTTTGTGATGCTGATTATTGGCAGACTTGAAAAAAATTGATTAGAACACTTTGATGAGTTCAGATTCTATAAACTGTTCTCATCCAGGATCTAAGGAACTACCAGTATAGCCTGTCAGTGGTGGAGGGCCTGAGGATCCACATGGAGATGGGCCACAGCTACATTGATATTCCCAAAAGTAGCTTCAGTGAGGTAAGAGTTTCTTTAATTTTGTAAAATAAACTTATTCAGATTCTGGTTAGGATTTAGATAAACATTGATAATGCTTGAATATGTCATTTGTCACAGTTGCAACTAAAAAAAGAATAACTTCTCAGGTGTTTTAGTGCCCAAGCTTCATGTACTTGGTTTCAGTAGATGTTGACTTCTTTATTTACAAGTGCTTTGGGTTAATTTTTTGGTAATCAAACTACAAATAACCCCCAAAATTTCTGTAACTTCTAGAAACATATTGGTTTAGAAATTAGGTTTTTGTGGTCGTCCTCTAACTCCCTGCAAAGGATAACTGAAGAGGGTACAAAGTAGATTAAATCAGTTGAATGATCAGTACAATATGTTTTTCTTTACTCTCTTTCGTAAATTGTCCTGCTGTTGGGAAGATTGTCTTGTACAAACAAGTCAAAGCTACTTAGTTTCATATAGTTGTATCGTGGTGTTTTAGGGCCATCATTGACAAATAAAAATACGTTTTGGAGGCTGAAGATAGAGGTAGCATTTAGAGAGAAAAAACCCTAATAAACCCTTGATAAATTATCTATTAAAGAATGTGTAGTAAGATCTGTCTTGAATGAACAACCAGAAAATGATTCCCTTGTCGTTTTTAAAATTCTCTTTACAACAGGCCAAAATCAAACAATGTATGCATGTAAAAATAATAAGTAAATAAAGCAAAAGTTGGCACACAGCAGTGTTGTACAGAAATGTATATTTTTCTGTATTTTTCAGGTGCAGAAGGTGATAAATGCATCCAATGAACATGTCATCAGCATTGGAGCAAGATTCAGCTCGGAGGCCGACTCTCACCTGGTCTGTTACCAGAATGAGGAGGGAAATTACCAAACCCAGGCCAACAGCATGCCTGGGAAGTCTCGGACAGGTGAGTGTCCTTAGAAATGCTCCATACTCCTCTATTTTTGAAAAATAAAACATTAGAGGCAAGCATTTTGTTGTACCATGCATATATGAACTTCTGGGGGTTTGTGTTTTGTTACAGTCACTGGGGCCAGTTTTGTGGTGTTCAATGGAGCACTTAAAGCCTCCTCAGGTTTCATTGCAAAGTCCAGCATTGTAGAAGGTACTGTGACTGGTTGTTGGCTCTGAAATACTTATGTCCATTCTGTTATTGCTGGGCCAGACTAGTCAATTGTTTTGTTTTTACCAGATGGGTTGATGGTGCAAATCCCTCCAGAGACCATGGAATCTCTTCGCTCTGCCCTCAGGGAGCAGACAAACTTCCACATACCCTGTGGCAAGATTAATGATGAGCAGCTCAGAGAGAATGTGACTGTCCGCTGGGTGGAGTGGAATCCACCTGTCAACACAGGGTAACTGCACGCAATGATTTACTCCATGTGTGTATGTGTTTGCCAATGCCAGTATTTGATCATATTTTAACTAAAACACGATGCAGTTTAAATCTCTGGGAAAACAATACTTTCTACTGTGACCCTGTGCATTTGTATTCCTGCAGCAAAACTAGTGGAGTTGATGGAAGATCCCTAGATGGAGTGTGTAGTGTGAGGATGCAACAAGACACTGAGTTTGAGTCAGACAATCGGCTGATTACATGCACTGAGGTAATTTTTCCTTTTTTCACATCAAATTGTTTGCTCCTATCTGACACTTTCTGTGAACTGAATGAGGTTTCCATTCTGAGTTCTAAAGCCATCTAAAAGTCGTGATGTGTGCATGACCTGAATTGTATTTCTGTTCAGGTATTCTACCAGCTGAAGTCTCCAGACTGCAACCTGGCATCTGTCTTATCGTCCTGCAGTGTTTTTCAGAAGGAAATAGCGTTGGCAACCTGCAGCGCTCTCACTCCTCACCTCGCCGTTCTCACTTCCAGCGGCATCAACTCACTCTCACTGTGTGTCTCGACACAGGCTGACATGGTAAACGAGCAGTGATTCAGGTTAATATTGTAAAACCTTTTTAAGACCATTCTGCATTAGCAGAGTGGTCTTACAAGGTATTTGAAAATGCAGATGCAACAATAGTGATGTATTAATGATGACTGACTGTATTTAAAAATCACACACTAGTATCACCACTCTAATGGTCATTTTTGAATTCTCTTGGTCAGTTATGGTTACAGACTTTCTCACCACCTTCATATGCTTGTGTTTTGAGTTTAACCATATGTGTGCGTGTGTGTATATGTATTAGGGGTGCAACGATATTCGTATCGATATTGAACCGTTCGATACAGTGCTTTCGGTTCGGTACACATATGTATCGAACAATACAAAATTTGTAATTTATTTTATCAACTTTCCTTCTGACAATGGTGTCTGTTGAGCGCTCAGTGAATCTGCGTTCGACTACTCCGCCTAGGCTGCACTGTCGAGCGCAGATCCACTGAGCGCTCAACACAGACAGCATAGTCAGAAGGAAGAGCGCAGGGCAAGCTAGCGAGACAGAAGTTAAGCTCTCCTTGCAACATGGCAAATTGAACCTCCCCCACCCTCATTCAGATCTGGCGTTTGGAATTATTTTGGTTTTCATGTGACGTATGACCCTGAAGGTAAGCGCGTCATGGACTAAAGTAAAACAGTATGTTGGATGTGCCACGCAATGCTCAATTACATGGGTGGGAACTAGTGTGTTAGCGCAGTTAGCTCGTTAACGTGTTGGCCGTCTAGCCCCGGGCGATCAGGGGTAGCTCGTTAATGGAGATTTGCCGTGTTGTGGCGTTAAGTCATTTCAACGAGATTAACGCTGACAGCACTAGTGGGAACACAACGAATATGACTGCACATTTACTCCGACATCATCCTAGTGCAAAGACAAGTGGAAGCAGACAAAAACAACAAGCACGCATGCTACAAACTTTACCCGAGTCATTTAGACAGCCGTTAGCACATGATTCTCCTTATGGGGACCTGATATGTTTAATATGCTGCTGAGAATATAGCCCAGAAGAAGCGTATAGTATAGCTTTTATTTTGGAAAGAGCCATTTCTCTGTAATAAACTCTCTTTTCCAAAGATGAGTGATTTCTTGATCAGATAGATTAATTTTTTTATTATTATTTCGTTGTTTCAGCAACATTAAATTTAAAAACTGTACTTTTGAGATAAAATATATATTTATAATTTTAATAAATGACAAATTAAAAAAGCATGAACATATTTTTGTTTCGAAAAAAGATTCGAACCGAACCGTGAATTTTGTGTATCTTTGCACCCCTAATAGGTTTTGGGAAGTTTTTTGACCACAGTAATCGTGAAGTGAACATCTGGTATTGTGACAGCCCTATTTGGATTTATTGTGTTTAGCACTTAAAGCCTTTTGAATATTTCTTTACTGTTTTTTCTCAGGTGGAGTACCAGGCTGGCTCCAAAGGCAGTCTTCTCCCACAGCGCTACATGAATGAGATGGACAGCGCTCTGATCCCTGTCATCCATGGGGAGAGTGCAAGTGTGCCACAGACTGCCATGGACATGGAGTTCATGTTCTATATCACACATGCCATTGAATGTGCATGTAGACCATGACACACTCAAAGTTTTGGAGGCAAAAAAACAAAAACAAAGCTGCAGCTTCAGGCAGGATGCTTGTTCCCAGCTGGAGCAGCAGCCACCCACACAGGAAGAAAAACATTTCCACCCTGAGGTTTGTGATTTAGAGGGATCAATGATTGGATGATGGTCTTCTGTTAAGAAGCCATTGTACTTTTGAGTGTTTCATGTTCACCAAAGCTGCTTTAATACAAGAAGCCAAACACTAAACAAGAAATATGACAACATGACCAAAAGCAACCAAACTATTCAAAGCGCTTTCCTCTGCTCTGCCTTCCAGACTCCCTGCTGGCCTCCGTCAGTGTGGAGTACCTCAGTGAATGTTTCCTACAGACACTATGGAAATGGCTCTCATTATTTTTACATTAAAGTAGGGACATTAATGAGCGTAGACAGGTGATCAGGTGCTACTATAGAGCTACTTGACATACATAGTTGGCTTGTTCTAAATGCAGACATCACAGGGCTCACTTTCTCTCAAGGTACTATGCTCTCATTTGACATGATGGTTGTGATGATACTGCACAGGAAAACAATGGGCCTTCTGCAGGAAACCTTTTTGTAACTATGTCCTGGGGCTGGGCTGATGAATGATATTTGATTAAAATTCCAAGTTTGCCTTTTAATGATAATTTATAAAAACTAAACCAAACTTCATTACAGTGCACTGCTCTAAAGGACACCTATCCACGTGCCCAGAGTTTCTCCCGGTTTAACTCAACTCAAGCTAAGAAAAGTAGAGTGTTTGATCAACAAGGTCTATCTACAGGGAGGATTAACAATCGCCTATGTCTATATTGCTCAGGGTCTGGTTTGGTTTTTTTTTCCCCTCAATTGAGTCTGCCTTCTGCAACAAGTAACAGTTGGATAGCCGAGGCTTCAGCTCTCTTCCACTCACAATGTAACTGCTATGCAGGTCTCTTGGTGCACACACATCCACTGCTGCTCCCTGCCCCATTTGCAGCAACAATCTCCCAACCAGCATGGCATGGACCAGTGATGCTAATTTTAGCTTTATGTTAAAAACAACTCCCAATTATTTCCCAGCTGCCTACTAAAACACTCTGGTACTCTCACGACTCTCCCCTTTTTTCATTTATTTATTTGTTTTCATTTAAATTATATTTGACATATAATTTATATGTTAAATTATATGTCAAATATAATTGACATATAATTGTTAACTGTTAACAATTATTGAGTTTTTACATAATGCTTAAGTGTGTTCATTTTGTGTGACAGAATCACTGGTTTAATTGACATCTAGACCTGTCATGCTTTGTTACTTGTTCTGCTTTATTTATTGTCAGTTAAGTGTTACACAACAACTAATCGCTGATGCACAACAACCTAACAAGCTGACAGTGAATAACGTGTACAAGTTACCGATCTTATATTCGCCAATAAAATGTCAGACTTTAAAGAAAAACGACAGCCATTATGACAAAAAATCAAAGTCAAAGAAACACATTCCAATGTGGATAAAAGCAGAGACTGTGCACTACATTAAACGACAGGTCTAGAATATACATGAATTTCACACGACAAAAGTGCAGGATGCAACTCATTCAGGGGAGGCAGCCTCACCAGTGTAAACGGTTAGCTCAACTGAGCTGCCCAGATGTTTGGCTAGCTCAGTGTCTAGATGACACTTCATAATCCTCTCAACTGAAAGCATCTGAAAAACATTTCTCTGAGCCCTGGTTGTACAACAGCAGCAATAATCAAGGATTTATTTATTCTGTCAATTATAATTCGTAATTATAAGGCCACACTTTCCTTACAGGCAATGAGAGTGATGGAAACAAACCTGTGGGAGTGAGTCTTTCCTGCATGAGGCCCAGTGTGTGTGTCAGTAACATGGCTGAAGTTTGCGTCTGGAACTTTACAAATGTTTTTTTAATTCCTAAAAAGTGAACATATGACAGGTATATTTTGGCAGGATTAAGAGTGTTGACCTACTGACCTTGATGAAACTACAGAACTATTTGGATAATAGTATTACAACTGGTGGAGGTGAGGGGTTAAAATATTCTCTTGTAGTTGAATATGTCTTTCTTGTTGAGTAGCTGACATTAAAGCTGCTCATTACTGAGCTTGCAGGTGTAGCTCTTCTCAGAGCTTTAGTTTCTGTTTCCATCATCCTGCTGGCACAAAATTGATCCAATAGTATGTTTGTCTTAAAATCTTTCCATTATTATTTGATCATCCATCTTCACACTGAGGTTTCATTTCACACTGAGATCTTACAAAAGAAAAGATGATGTAAATCCCGACAGTTTTTATTTCTCAGAAGGAGGTGTAAATTTAACAAAGAGGATGCTATATTAATTGTACACACTCTGCTTCTGGATGAAAATGTCCAGTCAGGGGAGTTAAAACAAAAAAATCCCTCCGGTTTTTCACAGAGATGCTCTTTCAGTGTTGATGACTTCTTGCCAGATCAAACACAAAATACTAATGATTATTTTCTCCTTTAAGATGTTTTACGTTATCTGCTTCAGTCTCAGTTAAATGTTGTTTTTGCACAGCTAATGAGAACTCTTTCATTCAGTTCATCTCACAACTTTTACTAGTTATTTAAAAAAATGAAGATGATTCTTTCAGATGAGAAGATTGATTACACTATTATCAAGTCACTAACACAGATTGTATATAAGCAATGGAATTGGCCACAGTAATGTCACCAGTTATGTGGGACTGAAGGTGCCTGTTTTCATTGTGAGCATTGTAGTGTTTTTGAATTGGATGTAAGGCGTGATGGATGGATCAGACTGAAACTATTGCTATTCAGTCTGGTCGCCTCCTGTTGGCCATTTATAGAAATTCAGAGTTAAAGCTCTTCCACATTGGCTCCACTTTACAAGCCCAGAGGCTACCTCTATCTTTTATATAGTCTATGTTCATGAATTAGCTTAGCTTAGTTCAGTGTGATGGGTAGAAACGGGTGAAACTGTGTAGCCTGGCCTCATTCAGCCTTCAAGAACCATCAAAGCTTACAAATTATTCTGTATATTTTGTTTGATGTTTAGAAAGAAGGATGAAAACCACTGGAGTTAATTGAGTTAATTGGTGGTTGGTTTTTAGTCTGTTTACATGGATAGAGCAGCTAATTGTCTTTACCAGCTAACATCAGACTTAATGGCTGCCATTGACTGACACATTCAGTGACAGGTAACAATAGCAGTGACACACTCAAGTATTGTCACCTTAATTCTGTGCCGACTATAAGATGCTGAAACAACTGGTTATTTTGTTCTAATGAAGACTTTGGTTTCTGTTGCAGAAAAGGCAGAACAATAACATTTTAATTATCAGCCAAATTATTATTTTTAAGTGTTGTTATTGGCCCAACTTTTCAGAGCTAATTCTCTATTGACCATTTCTTTTAAGATAAATAATTCCTATGCTTGGTCTCAATTTCGTTCATAATATTAGTTCACTTCATGTAGTACTAAAACTACTACTACATGCTGACTTGTCTAGTGTGTAAGTTTGGACTGATTAATTATCAAATGGACATGTCACGTTCTGCTCTTAAATGAAATGACATTCTGAATGTTAGACTCCGGTTGTCCCGCGATTTACTGCATGTTCTAAACTTGTTCTGCCTCTGACCACCCATTTGGACAATTTGCTGTCTGCTGCTGTTAGCTAGTAAGCTAGCAAAGCCACTATCATCAGTACTGATGATTACAGCCTCCTTCTGGCTGAATCTTGTTTGGTGGTCCTTTTCTATCATTCAAGTAGCCAAGAACTGAGACACGACGGTGGTTTCCAGTCTAAATTCAAGTGTCATCTAGCAGCTTTGTGGCTTTAGTTTAAAATTAACACACAAATATAAGAGTGGTATCAATCTTCTCATCCAGGTTTTGTGCAGAAGGACAAAAAAAGCTAATTTCCTCAGTTTATTGATTGGAGTAGGAGCTGTTTTATACTGGGTTCATATTTTAGCATTATTTAATGTCTCTATAACAGCTTTAGGCACTTTATAAATATCAGTGTGCTGATGTGTTAGAAAAAAAAAAGGTTTGGTTTGACAGATGCCTGAAGGCAATCTGTCAAACCAAACCTTTTTTTTCTTCTTTTTTTCTTTTTTTTTTTCCGGTAATGATATTTCTGGATCCAAACTGGCAGTTATCTCTTATGAGTCGGAATAATAAATGCTCCTGAAACTCAGAGTACACAGAGGTTATGTCCCTGTAAAATGCATTCACTTTTGTGTCCACTGTTTGTAGCAGTGTTTTGCAGCCTCCATTTGTCTAAAGCTAGGTCTGAGTTTGTTTGTTTTGTTTTGTTTTTTAGGGCAAAGTGCATTGTGTCGCATCTCATCTCACTTTTCAGTCAGGACTTTTTTCCCAAATGTATAGATGATATCCTGTACACATAGAGATTGTATCAAACCTTGTGCATTTTTTAAATATTAAAAGTTATTTTTGAAATGTTGGTATAAAAGAAAAAAAAGTTAATATTTTTGATAGAAGGTTGGCTACATTAATTCTGCAGTTTGTGTAGCAAGCTGTTTGAGAGGAGAAACAAATCAAGAAATGAATTAATTGTTAGAAGGTGGAAATATCTAATCTCAAAATACATGAAGCGCTTTCGTTTGACATGAATGTTTTTGGTAAAAATCTGAATACTGAGCTTAGTTATGAACTCTTCTGCAAGTCGTGCTCTAATTCTTAGCAACAACTGCGTTATTATGAATACTCATGTAAAGACTTGTAAACCTCCAGGTTGATTGCAGTCTTCTAGATGTATGAAGGTTTATACAGTTTTTTTTAATCACTGAAATCTGTGAGTTGTTGATTAACTTCTCCATGTGAGATGTTTATTAAACACTAGAAAGGTCAACTGCCGTAACTGACTGTGTTGATTTTTAGCCATGCATGCAATGACTGAATGTTAAATTGGGAGGCTTTCTAGCTTCAGTAGAAATCTCTCACCCTTTGGAGAGGCCGTGATCTATTGCCTGAAAACTGCATTTATGTACACCTAATCTGCAGATGATATTTTCTGCTAACATAAAAGGTTGTCCAAAGATTTAGATTGGCTATAAATCTGACCTGTAAAAAACCTATGCAAACGAAATGTGTTCAGTGGACTGAATAAGCTGAGTCTGAATCTGTATTTATATCGAATCTGTATTTAAGGTCCTTTACTAAACACCAACCACACTTTAATCAGGAGCTCACAAAGACTTACTATTTTCCACCTAAAGCCGCTTTTGTTCTTTATGGTGGATTATCTAAAGTTGTTATTATTACCATTACCACCATTATCATCATTATTATTATTGTTGTTGTTGTTATTGAGTAGTTTGAAAAATGAAAAATGTGAGTTTTGATTCTGATGTAGAAAGCGGGTATGAGGGGAAATTGTGCCGTTTATACTGCCGTGCAAACATCTCTGAAACGTACGGCAGTGGTTTATGTAAAACTTATTGATTTTTACAAAGTCCACCTTTTTCCCCCTCCATTACAAAATGGACATGTTCTCCTTCCACAGTCCAAAGCCTAATAGCTTTGGATTTTGGGACGAGAACATGTCCATTTTGAGAAGTATTTTGGGAGGCAAATTATTCAAATTTCTTTCTCTCTCGTTAAAACAACCTTCCACTGTGTGAAAATGAGAAGTATTGATTGATTTGATGTAAGTTTTTGTAAATCATCCATTTATTCATAAGACCAGCTTTACTTTTTGAGGACCCTGCGGTCTGCATCCTAACCAGTTTCTGAATAGCCTGTGTATTTAAAGAATAAAAGAATTTTATGAAAAAACAAAACTCAACCTGCCTGTTATCTTTCTGAAAGTTAAAAATAAATAAATAAATAAAATATTTAACTGGAGTTTGCACTTGCTTCACAGAGTCAGGCCCACAGACTCGCCACTGTTGTATGCTGCACAGCCAGGCCCTGATCATATCCTGGGGATGTATATATGTAAAAGTTTTCCGATGTACACTGGTGCATGTCTATACAAAGCTCTAAAATTCAAAGCCCCAATATTAAAGTGAACTCCAAAGTTAATGGGGATTTGGTGTAACTTAATTAGCAATGGTGTGATAAGTGAGCACTTGGAAGAGTTGCACTTATGGGCCGTACTGAACTGGCCCAAAAGCGAGGTGAAAGTGAACTAGTTTATCGGGTATTCACCCGACTCTCCCTGTTAGTCATTCCATCCCTGCCCACAAATCTGTCAGGGGAAGAAACAATGACTTCTGTTTTAACTTCATTCAATTGAGAACAAACAAGCAAGTATCAGCTGAAGAGATTCAGATATAACAGAGACCTTTAAGGCCTCAAAACAGAACCTTGAGGTACACCATAGGGAGAAGTGGAAGAGGAGCTTTACTTGGAAGCAGCCACAGAAAAGGGTCATTTAGATAAATAAAACCACCGCAAAAGCCAAACCCCTGTACACACAGTATCTCAGTCGATTGAGCACAATGTGATGGTCAACAAAATCTGTGTGTGTGTGTGTGTGTGTGTGTGTGTGTGTGTGTGTGTGTGTGTGTGTAGGACTGTGTGTGTGTGTGTGTGTGTGTGAGTGTGAGAGGGGGTGTGGCTTTTTTACTATTCTATCTCAATTTTCCCCAAGTGCTGTTCATTCACATAGGCTGCTTCCATTAAACACACAAGGTCACAGAGATGAGTGGACGAATAGGAGACCTGAGCCCAAAGCAGGCTGAGATTTTAGCCGAGGTAAGACATTTACAATTAACGTTATGCAGATATATATGTTCAGTTGAATGGTTTAATTGTTCTTATCTATCAAATTGTTGTATCTGTGGGCTTGAGGTAGTGTCATATGCAGTAACTCATTGACACTGGTCTTTGGTCTCATCAAAATTGGTTGATATTATGCTGTGAGTTTACTGGGGTGTATCTTTTTTTTTCCACACAACGAAACACACCACTTTATGTTAATGTCTTGTCTTGTAACATAAATTTAGGGTGGTGGGTTAAGCCTAGAGGAAAGTTTATTCTCTTTTTGAATAAATTGAAACTACAAATAAATAAAAAATCATTTTGTAGCTTGAACTGATGAGGCCAAGTTAGTACTTTTTGGGCCATTAACAGTCTTTATTATAAGCTAGGTATCTCCTGGTTGTAGTTTCATATATTTGTATGACCAACATATATTTGATTGCCTGTGATTGCACACTGTTATGTACAGACATGAGAGTGGTATCAAACCTCTCTTACTTTGCAATAAAGCGACCAAGTCTAATTCTGCAAATGTGAAACTGTTCCTTAAATAATAAAATAACTTTGTCTTCTCTCTGGTTCTCTCTCTTCCAGTTTCGGGAGAGGATTCAGGACATCCTTCCAAGCTTGCCTGCGCAGCATGATCACTACCTCCTGCGCTGGCTCAGAGGTGAGACTTGCATTTATGTACAACACACACTGAAACCACCTGTTTATAGCAACAATCACCCAAGTCTAGAGTGACTAAAGACGAATGTAAAAAAACAGAACCAGCTGGAAAAGATGAGTGACAATTAACAACAAAAAATCACGTGGAAAGGGGAGATCTTCGATTCAGTACACTAAATGTATGCCAGTCTCTCTTTTAAAGAGGCTGCCATATGTTTAATAAATCGGTTTTACTTTGACACATATTTCATATATGTTAGTGTTCTGTGTATTTACAAATATTTCAATGAAAGTGCTTAAATATTGCCACTTACTGTTAATTTATTCTTCTGCCCTACTACAAGAATGACTTTGTCAATCCAATTACTTATCAGACTCCAACCCTGATATGAAGTGTGCATTCTCACTGTTCAGGTGTGTTGAGAAACTGTAACTATCTTAAGATAAGAAAGATAAGATACTTAACGTTGAGTGAAACACAACAAACATATAACAAAATAAGTGGAAAGGTATGAGGGTCAATAAAAGTTAAAAACGAAACGTAAGCCAAAGTAAATTGAATCAAATAAAATAAAGATGAAGTCGGATGCAAATATGAAATTATTTATTAAATAACAAAGTAAAATGTTTCAAAAATCAACAAAGGAAAAACCTGATTCCAAACGGCTTAATGAATATAAACAGCACATATCAGATGGCCCAGCGTAACAGAGGCCAGAGCATTGTGTTTGCGTCTGTTCTCTGCTGTAACAGTGAGCGAAAAGATGATTCTCTGCTACGCAGACATGTTGTATTGTAAGGACTATTGGGTGACATATTAAAGATTTCCTGTATCAGTACTTGTGGCAGCTAACAGGCATAAAAGCTGTTAAAGACCGTCATATAGAGGCTAAATAACTAATAATGCTATAAATTAGAAGATTTCAGTAACAAGGGATATTTTTGCACAGAATGAAAGCTTGTGGTATACCACGAACTTTTCATGGCTGCCATTATACTCTACAAGTATACTGGCAGCCTTATAATGCCTGAGGCTACCTTCAGTCTCTGGTAAACTCTGATATTTAAAGCAGTTGAGTAGGAATAAACAAACAAACCTGTTCCGAACATGAAACTAAATCCAGTTTCAGTGCAAGAGTGTAGCCATACCAGAGCTGGAGGGTTCAGTATCGGCAGAATACTTCTTTCAAGGGACTGATCTCATAAATATAACCTATGCGTTCATGTTGATTATCTATTATTGCCTACAAATTTGAGTTTTTCTTTTCTTTTTTGGGGGGGAGGGAATACTGCATTATATTAAATTTCATGCCTCTAACACAAGAGGGGCAAAACTTTTTACGTAGTAAGTTTATTGTGTCATTTTACTAAACGATCTGAATCTGAAGTGCGTGGTATAAGGACTCCAGACTTTTAATAAGGTGGTTTTAAATCAGTCTTCTTGTTAATTTCCACTGCCAGTGAAATAAAAGTCATTGAGTAATGCATTAAACATGTGAGCTTAGAATGAGGGAGAAGGCCTCCCTTTCTCTGAATAGCATTGGAATTGCATTCTATCTGATGCTGTGTTTAAGGGTCCAGTGAGACCTAAAAAGAAATCAAACCTGACTGGAGATAAAGAAACATAGTATTTTCACATGGGCTTATAATTGGAAGGAAGTTTACTAACATACAAAAAATAATTAAAGATTTTATATAAAGGAAGTGGAGTAAATGAAGTAAACATAATTTAAATGTGGAAATATACCTACCTCATACAGTACTCGAGTAAATTCAATTATCGCAACTGATTATGTAAAGTGTAATAAATCAGAAATTAGAAGTAACTTCAGTTTTATTATGCTAGCTTGTGTTTCCAGTTATTAAGGTTTAATGAATGGTGATGATATTTATCCCCATCTATTCTTTCCATACAAGCAGAGCAGCTGCAGGAAGAGCTGATATACATCAGAAAACATTGTTGTTGTTTTTTTTAAAAACAAACAAACAAACAACCTTTTCTGGCTGCATTAACTGACTTTCCATTCTTTGGAAAGTCAGTTTATCGAATAACCTGTCAAATTAATATTACTGAATCATGGTTAGTGGTGGCTCAAACAAAAGAGGACCCTTCTATCATAGAAATGTATCAGGATAAATTCTGAATGTATTTATTTGCATGAATAGTCAAAGAAAATGTGCCATATGTGCAGTTTTCACATATGGCACATATAATCATTTTTGATTTTTTTTGTACATTGCAGTTGATTGACTGAAATAAATATGACCCAAACTGTTAATTTTCACATTTTCTGTTTCTACATTTTGAATCTAAATTTCAGATTGATGTAAAAATCAACTTAATATTTGACCTCATTCACTCTGCATTCACTCTGAAAACTTCTAATCTGGCATATTATTCTGTGGTTTGCATGTGACATTAGTTTCTGTTGATGAGTAACTTGTTCCATGCGTTAAACAGCCTGTAGCTCCTGGTACCCACACACCAAGAAGCACTGCAGAATGAATGTAAAAGTTTGTATACTTATAAATACTAAATTAATTAATTATTAAGCATTTACTTCAGTGATAAAGCACAGAAACTAAGATCATAAAGAACTGTCAAATGAACATAATACCAAATGTGAAAAAAGTACTACCTGATTAGGATGAAATAATTACTAGAATGCTCAATTAATAAACAGTAGCTTTAAACTACCATCAAAATGGGTTAAAAATTGCTTCCCTACCTTAAAGAAAAATCACTCATCTTGGGTTTCTTGGTGCCCTCCTGATCCACCACTTGAAACTGATACTTGAGCTGTCAGTTGCATTAGAATTTGCATTAGTTAGGCTAGCTAGGCATGTCTTGAACCTAGTTTTTGTGAATGCAAAGGTGCTAATGACAGGCGGGGGGTTTACAGAGGGAATTCATTTGTTGTTGAACAAGTGCTCAGATGTTTCATTTTTGGGGAATAAAAAAGAAAGCTTACATGTTCTTTTGCCTACTAATGTTTAGATTAAACAGCTGATAGATGTAGCATATTGTCTGATTTGTAGTTAAATCGGGATTAACTGCATCGCACGTGTAATAAAAGATATTTAAACCTGCTCACATACTCCCAATGGGTATAAACTACCCAAAAAAGCAAAATAAGACAGACAAAAAACCTTTTTAACCTACATGTTTGAAGCGTGGGTTCAGTCTGTATCAAAGACTGAAATGTTTTTTATTTCCTGTAATCTGATGGAAAACATGTATTAAAATGAAGTGCATTTACATGCTGTAGCTACAAATGTCACTCTTTTGTTTACCCTCCATTCCATGCAGCTCAAGAGGGAAAAACTGCCCAGAAAAACAGACATGAAACATGTTGTCCCGAAGACACTTGTGTTTTTAACAGAACTGCATTTTAAATTTCTTGTA